TGCATGCATGCATGCATGCATGCATGCATGCATGCATGTATGTATGTATGTATGTATGTATGTATGTATGTATGTATGTATGTATGTATGTATGTATGTATGTATGTATGTATGTATGTATGTATGTATGTATGCATGTATGTATGCACGTACGCATGTATGTATGTATGTATGCATGCATGTATGTAAGTATGTATGAAGGGACAATTAGCCCCGTTCGGTTAGACCTTGGAGCACCTGATTCATAAGCGGAATTAGTTCTGATGTAAACGCCATCAGTTATAATTAAATATGTGATCAATGTATTAAAATAATCTACACCTATCGAGGCCTAAGTTTGATTGTCTTCTCTATATAAAATTCAGGGATATAAAACATTTATCTCATGCTTGTTAGGATGCTTTCATCAGATTGTAAGTTTTCAAAGGACTAATGAAGAAAGAAATATGAAACCTTCCCGATCGTTCAATATCACATTCAGATGAATTAATGATCGTGTCTATACTCAAAACAAGAATTGTCATTTGTGTATCAAACTTTTATATTAAGGATACTTAATCTCAGTGAATTCACAAGGGTTTACTTTAAGCATCAGTTTCGTTGAGATAAATGGGTATTGGAGAACAGGTTTAAATGTTACCAATGGAATGTCTGTCAGTTACCAAGATATGAGAATACTAAACAATTGAAAGTGACATCATGTTCCTCACTATTAGATTACCAATGATCTGTTTCACCAAATTCACGTTACGAAGACGCATCGGGCACTGTACTGCCTTAATATTTACCATTGTTACATAGCAAATTTAGAGTGTGTCCATAACAACATAGGTCGACTTAATACAAGTAATGACGTCTTGGCTTAGCGTTTGACGCATTCGTATCTGAATATTAATTTGTTAGGCTAAACTATGATTAAAGATTCTGAATTCCTTAATTAAACATTAAAGATAATTCTATCACAGTTGATCAGGTTCTGAGATCATGACACGATCTGAAGTCTAGACTTGTCTTCAGGTTTTACGTAACCAATCACCAATAATCTCCATAAATGTGATATCATTCGTGAATAGGTAATCAGAAACTTTAATCGAAGAGTTTGTTATGATCTGAGGGCCAAATGTCAAGGTGTATACAATTTAATAACCACACTGATTAGCAAGGGTGGTACAGACATATATCAATAAATAATAAGAAAACGGTATATGGACGGAGATAAACATTGATTTTAACATGTGTTAAATAACATAGTTTTTGTTCAGGTTAAGTCCATTTTCCCCAGTGTTCATGTAACTATAAATCTTTAAGTAGCGGAATATTTCGGCGGAGGTACAAACTGGCCTGTATTGGACGGGGGATAGGCTGGTCCTTGAGGGTTGTAAGCTGGTGGAGGCGGGGGATAGACTGGTCCTTGAGGGTTGTAACCTGGTGGAGGCGGGGGATAGGCTGGTCCTTGAGGAGGATTTGCTGGTCCTTGAGGAGGATAGGCTGGTCCTTGAGGAGGAAAAGGAGGATGAGGTTGAATCGTTCCTTGTTGAGGGTAGGCAGATCCATGACCTACAATGATGATATAATACAAACGTAAATAAATGTGTTGAACTCATTTCAGTTGGCACTCAAAGAAAATAAGAATCCAATCTAGAACAAATTCTATGAAACGCGCCTACGATTCTTGTTGAAGTTGTAATTTCCAGTTGGCATTCATATTTACCACGAATTCCAATTTGAAGTAATTCATTGCTCATTTTTTCCATTTTGCAAATATTTCAATACCATAACGAAAAAATAATAATTAATTGATAAAAATTTAGCTTTTACTCTTGTAGTTCAAAAGGTACCACCGAAGGCTGTCTCTTGGAGTTTGAGATGTGAGGGTACTGGTGTTGACAAACACCAATGTGGGTTTTGTAGGGTGCTATACCTACACTGGTATTGGGTAAAGCCAATGAGGGATGCTGCTCGGAGTTATACCTGTATGGGTGTTGGTATTGACAATAGCCACAGTTGGTTGTTGGTTGCTAGGATAGACAACTCGTCCTCTCGTGTGCCTATTCTTGTTGCACGCCGCACACAGGCACACAAGCACTGTTATCAGCAGTCCTAGGCCCACAATACACCCGATTACCAAACCAGCTATGGTACCACCGGACCTGTTATATCATTAGAAAAGGGATATAATTATATATCCTTTATTAGCAGTTTGATTACTTAATATATATTTTTCTCTTGTAGCTTATATTGCAATTAACATCTAACATACATTTTGTAAGTGACGAAATGTAAAGTGTCTGCCGTGTGAAATATATGATTCAATGTATACAAATGTAAACTGGCTAGCTGGGTTAATGATACGCTGGTCCTATTTATGAACTGTGGTACGCTGGTCCTATTTGTGAACTGTGGTACGCTGGTCCTACTTGTGAACTGTGATAATCTGGTCCTGTGTGTTTTGGATTTCATTGTGTTGGTTTAACGACTGATTCACAGCCTCTGTCATTTAAGGACGTGTCTCTGTGTGTGTTATGTATAGATGAATCCATGTACGTCTGCTGGAGGCGGTATCTATGTCTTTGCCTCCTTGTGTCAGCGCTGATCTGAAACCCCTTCTTGATATACCAGAAGTAAGAGGGCATTAATCATCGTATTCAATCCGGTCACATTATCATGACTAGCTTCTTAAAGGGTTTTGATGTATACCGGCCTAGGGACAGCACTCATTAGCCTCGACAATTGAGCGAACGTTTAGCACTGAGGCCACAATTGAGAAATTAATCCAATGGATGCAGCATATCTATTGTGGTCACTTTCTCTGTCCCCATGTAGAGAACATAATAACAAATTTGCAATACACACCTTGCTTGGCAATAACTCACGTTTTGCCGTAGTGCTGAATGTTCGCCAATGTGAGGAAAAAATGGGTTCTGTCCCGAAATTAATTCTTTTCTCAACTTTTCGCCCATGTGAGACATTGCTTTTCTTGGCAATGCCTCACTTTTTGCCGTTGTGCTGAATGTTTGCTCAACTAAGGAAGAAGATGGGTTCCGTCCAAAAGTGTATTCTTTCTTTAATCTGCAATAAAGGCCTTTGTGTGTAATTTGATAAACTGTTCATATGTGTACAATATAGACAGGAACACCAACTATAGTAGGGACCAAAAACATGACCTTATGTCGTTACCAATTATAATCGCGCAAAATGCAAGGTCATGAACACTATTGTTTTTAAAGCCCTGGAGTCAACCAATTCATCTCGGACGTGTTTTATCTGTGGCGATCCAAACTTCTCTAGTACTCTGTTTGACACAAGCTTTGATACCTCGAACATTTCGTCTAGCCTCAGTAACACATCAATCGACAACCCCAACATGAGCGCTCCACTGCATACTTCTAGTCCTACTTCAAAACTTGGACAAAAGAGCAGCTTGACTCTTAATCCCAACATGAAGTCTGCATCCTTAAACTGTCAAAGTGTCAATGCTAAAAAGCATAGTTCCCGGGGCTTCTTCAACACTTGCCGCCTGGACATTATATCAGCAAATATAACCTGGCTGAAACGATCAATCCATAACAGCGGAATTCTACCCTTTGTATCTGACTATTAACGTTTCCGCAAAGATATAAAAGACGGTTATGGTGGTGTCATGCTTGCTATCAAATCCAACATCTTATGAAAGTCAATTGAAATACCAAACTCAACATGTGAGGTCATCGCCCACAAAATCAACTGTGGCTCTAATACATTCCTAAATAGTTATCTACACATGCCGTCCTCCTAAAAGTAGCATTGCATATGTTAGTTCCATCTGCTCGATCATTGGAGACATTTGTTGTAAACATGAAACTCAACCATCTGGAATGGAGGGGACTCAACCTACCAGACATCAATTGGTCCTCAAATCCAATCACAGGAAACCAGTACACCAAGGATATCTATAAACCTTTCTTATCACTAGAGAATGCACCGGAAATTTTTTAAAGATGATGTGTCATCCATGCAAAAAATCATTGACAACCTCTTCAATTGGGAACAAACAAGGCAAATGCAGTTCAATCTTCAATCTTCTACAAGAGGTCATAACATCCGATACACTGCCGAACACTGCTATATCAACACTCCTTCTTCCCGAGTGACATCAGTGTTTGGAAGACCTTGCCACAACCACTGGTCAGTTTGCCAACCTTCGATGGGTTCAGACAGGCACTGACCACCTCCACTGTCTGATAATTGTATAATCTATTTTAAATGTACATACATAAATTTTAAATATATATAGAGGAGGGCTGTGTTGCTATGGCAAGCATGCGACAATGTGAATATACTCAAAATGAGTTCTTCACTCAAGAAGGAAACAAGATATGTATTGTAAAAGGACAACATGACCCCGTTTCACTGACCAATTATTACCACAGCAATATTTACTGTAGTAAGGTCGACAGCATGACCCTGTGTCACTTACCAAATATAATTACAGCAATATTTACAGTAGTTAGACCAACAACATGACCCTGTGTCACCTACCAATTATTATCACAGCAATATTTACAGTAGTAAGACCAACAACATGACCCTGTGTCACTTGCCAATTATCATCACAGCAATATTTACAGTAGTAAGACCAACAACATGACCCTGTGTCACCTACCAATTATTATCACAGCAATATTGACATTAGTAGGACCTACAACCTGCCCCAGTGTCACTTACCAAATATAATCCCAGCAATATTGACAGGAGTAGGACCAAACACACGACCCTGTGTCACTTACCAAATATAATTACAGCAATATTGACAGGAGAAGGGACCCACAAAATGACCCTGTGTCACTTATCAGTTATATTCCCAGCAATATTGACATTAATAGGACCTACAACCTGCCCCAGTGTCACTTACCAATTATGATCACAGCAATATTTGTTGTAGTATGACCCACAACATGACACAGGACAATACATGTAGTAGCCGTAGTACGCCGCGCGGCAGTACTCTCCGCCACGCACCGACAGCACCAATGTCACTGGAAACAACAAAAAGCGAAATTAAATGAAAGAATCATTTTGCATAAATTGGTGTGTGATTTTTTTTTCAACACAATGTCAGCAAACGTTTATGTAAAAATGTACCACACTAAACAAATTCCTACACAGCCCGACACTTCGAAGCATCAATCGCCGAGGGAAGAACAAATCAACTTATCGTCGTTTATATTATGTTTATCAAGTCCCGATGGTAAATATTCAGTTATTCAAAGAACACTGCATTGTTTTTTTAATATAAATCAAATGTTAAAAACCACTACCTTCAGTGAGATTATACTTTAATTAAACGGTCAGGTATTGTTGAACTTTTATTATTGTTATTATCAAAGTACCAGCCATTGAATCGTCGTTGAATTGGACAGTTGGACTGGATGCAGCTACCAAATGTTATCTGTTTCATTTGACGATGACATTGACCAGATTAACATTGCCTGTACATATGAATCTCGAAGGGAAATAACTATTGACATTTTAAAACAAAGTAGATACCACTGTTTTTGATTTGTTTTTTGTTTTGTTTTATTGAAGCTACACAAAAATGGTTCAAGCAATCAAAAACGATCAATCAGCAAAATATTAGCAGCTGTTGCTAACGTTAGCGACAAGTCATGTAGCTACCCATTCTGCCTCTTGTGTCAGTGTCAACCCCGGTACAAATCGAAAACAACGCTGGTCAAACACCCATGTGGTCCCGTCATATGTAAAATGCAGTCGAAAAGACAACTGCCATATCAAATTGTTTTGTCCTTTCATGCCACGTCTGGTTTCCTGTCTAATTCGACATTCAATTACTACAGCTCCATACTCCAGAAGATGTAGAACCTCGACATTAAGCGGCTCTCCACTTCGAGCTATTAAAAAGATTGCTGCCGTAGACTCGTAGCTGAGCCTGCGCACTGCGTCTATACATTATACTTCCGCGATGACGTTTCATAACATTTAATATCTAAACGTATGAATAGATCAACAAAAACTAAATATGACATTTAAAATATATATTGTTTCCTCATATTTTGACTGTATTGAACTATCAGCGTACACCATCATAGTGTATGATGCCCCTTCAATGACAGACTACATTTGTTTACATCACGTCAAACGTAGACTTGCACAAGGTCCAGAATGTAGGACAAACTATCAGAATAGACTTGCACAAGTTTCAATTATTGAAAAAAAAAATGTTGATTGAAATATAAGGTTTCTTCGCAGTTCATTAAATTTGTTTCAAGAAAAACTCGATTCATCACGCATGCTATCTACCAAATCAAGATGCAATCCTTAAAGAAAAAATCAGCATGACCTGTATTGTATCGTCTCTATAAATCTCAAAGTCAAATCAAATGTTACTTGTTCACAACCACAATGTAAAATTCTTATTTTTTTGTATAATATCACAATTTTCTTACTGAAAATGTCAAATCCCTACAACTTTTTTCGATTGTTTTCTACATCTCAATGACAAATTCCTATTACATGTACAAGTTTTAATGTCACATTTCAATATCCCTAATTACATGTATAATTGTAGCACGTAATATTATATTTTATTAACCCTTTTTGTAATTAAAAACCTTTGTCACAGCTATATGTCACTCATTGTAATAAAAACACTTCATATCACTTTTCTAAAAACACTTTTTTTTTTACTTATAACACGTACAATTGCATTTTAATAACTCTCATTTTCATTATAACAATGATTGTGACGTTTTTAAAAACCACAATGTCAAGACCTTTTAACACTCCATGCTTCGTCATTGTCGTTACGTATAAATAACTGTTACATCAATACCAGAATATGTTTCCTTTTCTGTCGCTACCAGTATTTGATTTTGTTTTATGCATCAGAACCAGTAGCATATTCCACAGTTACAATAAACGTCACTACCAGTATTTTATATCACTGTTACATCACGCACAGATACATATTCCACAGTTAAAATAAACGTCACTACCATGTTACATCACTCACAGATACATTTGTCAAAATAACAATAAACGTCACTACCAGTACTTTGTTTATATCACTGTAACATCACTCACAGATACATAATCCAGTTACAATAAACGTCACTACCAGTATTTTATATCACTGTAACATCACTCACAGATACATATTCCACAGTAATAATAAATAGAGAATAATACATACCTTTTTCCATATCACACCCAGTATCAACCAGAGACTGCAATATCAGCCCAAGGGCCGAAGGCTCTAGGGCTGATATTGGTCGAGGGTTGATACATGTACTGGGTTTGATATGGAAAAAGGCATGTTTTATTATGTTTATTACATATTTACTAATAAAAACTACTATCTTATGATTTTATTTTCTTTTTGAAATATTGAAAAACGAAAACAAAATCCAAAAGTGGCGTGATATGGGTTTTGCGGGCTGATACGGGTTTTGGGGTGTGATACGGCGGGGGCTGATACGGGGTTTGGGGGGTGATAAGGCGAGGGCTGATATGGGTTAGAGCAATTGTGTCGTATCCCATCTACAAAAAAAACGTATTTATCAGTAAGTATGTAATAAACGTCACTACCAGTATTTTATATCACTGTAACATCACTCACAGATATATATTCCACAGTAACAATAAACGTCACTACCAGTATTTTATATCACTGTTACATCACTCACAGATATTTATTCCACAGTAACAATAAATGTCACTACCAGTATTTTAAATCACTGTTACATCACTCACAGATACATAATCCACATTTAAATAAAATTCACAACCAGTATTTTATATCACTGTTACATCACTCACAGATACATATTCCACAATAACAATAAACGTCTCTACCAGTATTTTATATCACTGTTACACCACACACAGAAACATATTCCACAGTAACAATAAACGTCACTACCAGAATTGTATATCACTGTTACATCACACACAGAAACATATTCCACAGTAACAATAAACGTCACTACCAGTATTTTATATCACTGTTACATTCCAGAATTGTATATCACTGTTACATCACACACAGAAACATATTCCATTTATATCACTGTTACATCACTCACAGATACATAATCCACAGTAACAATAAACGTCACTACCAGCATTTTATATCACTGTTACATCACTCACAGATACATATTCCAAAATAACAATAAACGTCTCTACCAGTATTTTATATCACTGTTACATCACTCACAGATACATATTCCTCAGTTACAATAAACGTCACTACATGTATTTTATATCACTGTTACACTGTACATTACTCACAGATACATATTCCACAGTTACAATAAAATTCACTACCAGTATTTTATATCACTGTTACATCACTCACAGATACATAATCCACAGTAACAATAAACGTCACTACCAGCATTTTATATCACTGTTACATCACTCACAGATACATATTCCACAGTAACAATAAACATCACTACCAGTATTTTATATCACTGTTACATTACTCACAGATACATATTCCTCAGTTACAATAAAGTCACTACCAGTACTTTATATCACTGTTGCATCACGCACAGATATATATTCCACAGTTACAATAAACGTCACTACCTGTATTTTATAGCACTGTAACATCACTCACAGATACATATTCCACAGTTAAAATAAACGTCACTATCAGTATTTTATATCACTGTTACACTTTACATTACTCACAGATACATATTCCACAGTTACAATAAACGTCACTACCTGGATTTTATATCACTGTTACACTTTACATTACTCACAGATACATATTCCACAGTTACAATCAACGTCACTACCAGTATTGTATAACACTGTTACATCACTCACATAAACATATTTCCCAGAAACAATAAACATCACTACCAGTATTTTAAAGCACTGTAACATCACTCACAGATACATTTGTCAAAATAACAATAAACGTCATTACCAGTACTTTATTTATATCACTGTAACACCACTCACAGATACATATTTTTATATCACTGTTACACTTTACATTACCCACAGATACATATTCCATAGTTACAATAAACGTCACTACATCACTCACAGATACATCTTCCACAGTAACAATAAACGTCACTACCAGTATTTTATAGCACTCTTACATAACTCACATAGATATATTCCACAGTTACAATCAACGTCACTACCAGTATTTTATATCACTGTTACATCACTCACAGATATATATTCCACAGTTACAATAAACGTCACTACCAGTATTGTATAACACTGTTACATCACTCACAGATACATTTGTCAAAATAACAATAAACGTCATTACCAGTACTTTATTTATATCACTGTAACATCACTCACAGATACATATTCCACAGTAATAATAAATAGAGAATAATACATACCTTTTTCCATATCACACTCAGTATCAACCAGAGACTACAATATCAGCCCAAGGGCCGAAGGCACTAGGGCTGATATTGGTCGAGGGTTGATACTGGGTGTGATATGGAAAAAGGCATGTTTTACTCTGTTTATTACATATATACTTATAAAAACTACTATCTTATGATTTTATTTTCTTTTTGAAATATTGAAAAACGAAAACAAAATCCAAAAGTGGTGTGAAATGGGTTTTGCGGGCTGATACGGGTTTTGCTGTTACATCACTCACAGATATTTATTCCAAAGTAACAATAAATGTCACTACAAGTATTTTAAATCACTGTAATATCACTCACAGATCCATAATCCACAGTTAAAATAAAATTCACAACCAGTATTTTATATCACTGTTACATCACACACAGAAACATATTCCACAGTAACAATAAATGTCACTACCAGTATTTTAAATCACTGTAATATCACTCACAGATACATAATCCACAGTTAAAATAAAATTCACAAC